ATTTGTATCTATTATCTATTATACCAGATACATGTAGCTCGTTAGCATGCTTCTCTGCATTTTATCATAATCCTTCGACACAATTCCTTCCCCCCAAAATCACACAAAGCACTTCTTACTGCCTGAGGTACACTTTCGTATAAACCGTGGTCCAGGAGAACTATCTCAGCACTTCCATCAGATTTGGACTTACGTACAAGAACTGAAAGGTAATAAAAATTAGGTGTGAGTATTAAGTGTAGGTGTAAATTTGAATTTTTTTTTGTATTTGTATTCTGATCATCGAGAGCTTTCAAATGATATCCCACATGACATAAAAGTATTAGCTAAAGTTTTTGAAGTAAAACTTCTTTGGGTTAGTTTGCTAAAGTTTTAAAAAATGCACCTAAGCAATAAAAGTATATATTCATTCTTATTTTTATTTATGCTTATTTATGTATTATTATTTATATATTCTTATTTATGCTTATTTTAGTATTTAGGGCTGTAGAGCCTTATAAAGTTATAAATTTTTACTGTTTATTTAATTATGTCCAGTAAATTCATGAGATTTATAATTTAATTCCAGTATTGGCATTCTATTCAGAAATACCTATCAAATGATACCCCACATGCCATAAAAACACAATCTAAATTTTTTGAAGTAAAACTTCTTTAGGTTCTTTTACTAAAAATGCATCAAAAATGTATATTTTTCAAAAATTCTTGTTTTTTAAGTTAATTTCAGTATTTATATTTATTTTTATTATAGTATTTGATATATAATTTGCTGTAGAGTCTTATATAGTACTATATTAATATATAGTCTATATATAGTACTATAAACTATTGCTATTTATTTAATTTTGCCCAGAAAATTTGCAGAATTCAAGATTTATTTCCATAATCGTATTCTATTCAAAAAATACCTTTCAAATGATACCCCACATGCCACAAAACACTATCTTTAATTTTTTTAAGTAAAACTTCTTTAGGTTCTTTTACTAAAAGTGCATCAAAAATGTTTATTTCAGAAATATTCTAATTTTTTTTTTAGTTAATTTTAGTATTTATACTTATTCTTATTTTTGCTTATTATAGTGTTTAATTTATAGTTTGCTGATAGTGTTATAAATTATTGTTTTTTTAAATAATAATTTTGTGAATTTTTTTTGCAAAAGTCAAATTTTAATTCCAGTAATCGTACTCTATTCAAAAATACCATTCAAATGATACCCCACAAGCCATAAAAACACAATCTAAATTTTTTGAAGTAAAACTTCTTTAGACTCAACTTTAAAATTAAAAGCCGGGGCACTTTACAACAAATTAAAATTGTTGCACAATTCGAATTTTACTCGTCGAGACCTTTCAAACGATACCACACTAGCGGTACAGGACATAACAAAAATTTTGAAGTAAAACTTCTTTAGACCTAAAAAAGCTGGGACACTTTGCAACAAATTAAAATCTGTTACACAATTCAAATTCTACTCCTCGAGACCTTTTGAACGATACCGCACAAACAGAAAGCGATATAACAAAATTTTTGAAGTAAAACTTCTTCAGACTCAAATTTATAGAATGCCGCAACACTTTACAGTAAATTAAAATTGTTACACAATTCAAATTCTACTCCTCGAGACCTTTCAAACGATACCACACAAGCGGTAAAAGATATAACATAACATTTTTGAAGTAAAACTTCTTTAGACCCAACTCAAACACTTTACAACAAATTAAAATTGTAACACAATTCAAATTCTTCTCGACGAGATCTTTCAAACGATACCACACAAGCGGTAAAAAATATAAACTTAAATTTTTGAAGTGAAACTTCTTCAGACTCTGTAGTTGTCTTAAGGTATTATAGTAGGTATGTTACCATTTCCTGGATGCGGATCAGCATGGACGAATCCCGTATTGAATATTTGTTCAGAAAAGGCAGTTATCAACTTTCTATCAACATCTGCCAAATTTAATCCTTGTTTTAGCAACTCTTCCTTGTTGCTGACTTTTACGCCATCTATGAATTCAGTTGTAAGAACTCTCTGTGAGAAAAAAAACTAATATATAAGATATCAAAGAACTATCAAAGATGAATGAAAAGAGTATTAACTAGGTGTAAGTGGCATTTAGTCTTAAGGCAAGTTGCTTGAACTTGGTAATATATATAATTTAATAAAGTTTTTTTTATCTTACTGTGTTTGTGAACTCCCATAAAACTTCTGGTACATAAACATATTTCAAATGTTTCAAATCTTTGGCACATTTTTCAGAATTTTTGGCCTCATTAACAAAATCCAGTTCCTGTCTTAGATTATTTTCAACGTAGTCCAGGATCCAGGCCAATTTGAAAGAAGGATGCAACCAGCCCACTAAACTGGTTATGGCACGCACCGTCTGGACGTCACCATCGAAACGATCCTGGAGATCTATATATTGAACCTGGAAAGAAAAAATAAATAGTAAGAAAAAAAAGAAAATAAAACTAAATACTTTTTTAACGCCAATATGAGCTTAGGTTGCTGTCGTACATCCCAACCTAGTATTTTTTTCTCGAAAAGCAACCCAGAGGTCAGCCACTCTTCTTTTTCATGCGTACTCTATATTTTGTAGATATATCTACTAACGTTGGTGTATGTATGTTGCAGCAATGCCCACAAAAGGATTTTCAGTTGAGATTATAAACTGAAACGTTACTTGTATGTTATGAAGCTGGGTCAGAAAGACACTGTTATCTAATATCGTTGTTTTGGCATTTGTGTTAGGTTTTCTATCTGACAAACTGAAAAAAACGCTGACTGCACAGCACCCACATGGCTTTTGATAATATTTAGTATGGAAAGTTCTTTACAACATAGCCTTGCCATAACATTGGTGGTCTGTTGTGCGACAGAATCGGTCCATATATTTCAGATCTTTACCTCAAATGGAAATTTGATATGATACTGCTTGGTATCGAGCTGACCAAATTTAGAATCGAACCCGGGTCTAGTAGATACATTATAAGGAATTATTAACTTCACGAGGAAAAAGATTGTTTTTGCTAGAAAGTCCAAATTGTTAATTTTTGGAAGAATATTTGAGTCATCATCAAAAACGCAATCACAATGTTTATAAATCACAATTCTTATTAAATAAGACGATTATTTACAATTACGTGTATTTACGATTACGTGTTTTACCTTGAGACAAAATTACACATAAACCTAGTTATAATTAAACTCAAGAGTAATAAAGTTTTACTTCAAAATTTCTAAGCTGTATCTTTCATTGCTTGTGGGGTCTCATTTGACAAGTTTCAAGGACTAGAATACGATTTCCATAAAAAAAGGTTTTATGAATGAAAACATGACAAATATCACCATATTGTAAAAAAAATTATTTTTATTACAAAAAATATTAAAATGTTGAATTTAATTGCCATAAATATTAAAATTTTGTCAAACACTATGATTAACAAAAAAACTGAAGGATATTTGTCAAAAATATATACATTTATAAATTTGTAGTAAACAAACCTAAAGAAGTTTTACTTCAAAAACTTTATATTAGGTTTCATACCTTGTGGGGTATCGTTTGAAAGGTCTATAAAATGTTAAACTGGAAATAAAATTTTGATTTCGTAATTTTTATATAAAATTGAATAAATATAGGCCTTAAATAAATTAAGGCCTTTAACATTAACTAGCTAATGGCTCATAGTCATTAGTTAAGAATCTCGGAATTCGAGATACCCAGCTGTAATAAGTCTGTAAATACCCTAAAACAGCACCCTAAAAGTTGTCTCAAAACCCTACATATGGTAACTATTCCCTACCAAATGTAGGTTTTGTGACAACTTTTAGGGTGCTATTTTAGAGTATTTACAGCTGGGTATCTCGAATTCCGAGGTGAACTTACTATAATGACTGAGTCTATCATAAATATATATTTTAGGTTTACATTTACACCTAGTTTTGGTCATAACAATAAATCTGGTTAAATACATTTATATTAAAAAAATATTAAAATAACGCTTACCATGCGCATCCAAGCCTAGGCAAAAATGTATGAGAAAGAGTCTTGTTAGGTTCGGACGACATGGCAAGCACTCGAGATTTTTTTTAAATTTAAATATAACTAGTACGTATTGATAGTCACAATTCAAAAATTAGCCAACTTTTAATTAATACAATTTGCCTTAGTTCAAAATGCCACTTACACCTAATTAAAATTATAATTATATTCATAAAGCAAGTGCTACATTCTATACACTTTATTACATTTCATATCGATATAAACTTGCATTGTTTGATAACATTTTAAATTCATATAAAATAAACAACGTAATATATAATGTAATACTTTTTAATATATACAAAGGGTGGTCCTTAATATGGATATTTTCAAATTAACTTGCTCCCAGGGGCTCAAATGCTTCCAAATAGATAAACAAAAAATCTCTAAAAGTTTTAGCTCTTAATATTAACTTTTAGATAGTCCGCAATTATATAAAAAATTCGAAAATATCCATATCAAGGACCACCCTGAGAGCTCGATATTATATTAGGTACAAATGTCTAAAATAGCCAGTCTTAAATGTTCGTGCTAATCCAGAAGCTGTACAAAAGGTGAGAAATTCGCGTGGAAACTTTGAATTTTTTATTTAAATTTTTTTGTAGAAGTGAATTTAAAATGGAATATACATTTATACATATAAAAGTATGCTAGAATATACAATAAATTGTTATGTTTCTTTCCGAACAGAAAATAGTACATTTTTAGTAATTTAATTTTTGGAACTATAGTTGTTATGTTATATATGTTGTTCCATCATCAGACTTTATATTCCCTCTAAAACATTTTTTTTAAATTGCAAGTAAATAATTAAGTCTTAATGTATAAAATTATAACAAAATTAACTTACTCGACTGACTTTAGTTTAAATATTATATTCTTCTTATATATATTTGGTGTAGGCACAGCTCAGATAAAAAAAGTGTCTTAAATAAAGATATTTTAACATTTACAAATCGTACTTATAATTTTAAGTTAATTATTTCATATACTTCAACAATTCATTTTATTTAAACTTAAAACTAATCATATTTTTTATCCAAATACTGTTCTTCATATTTTCTAACTTGTTTTAATAAAAAATGGTAAAACAAAGCCCCATATGATAAATGAAAATGTATTGAGAAATAAAAATAGTCATATTTATAATTGCTATTATAATTTTACACTATGGAAGACTTTAGCAGATTATTTGAATATAGTTTTTATAAATTTATGTTATCAAAAATAGTAAATCAAGCTCCCATATAAATATGAGACTTATCTAAGAACATTTGTTAAATCTATGAAAGACATTTACCAATTACAATAATAACTATAAGTACATTTCAAATATTTAAATAACTTTCAATAATTCATTTTATTTAAACTTAAAACTAATCATATTTTTTATTCAAATACTGTCCTTCATATTTTCTAACTTGTTTTAATAAAAAATGGTAAAACAAAGCCTCATATGATAAATGAAAATATATTGAGAAATAAAAATAGTAATATTTATGATTGCTAATATAATTTTATACTATGGAAGACCTTAGCAGATTATTTGAATATAGTTTTTATAAATTTATGTAATCAAAAATGGTAAAACAAGCCTATGAGACTTATCTAAGAACATTTGTTAAATCTATAAAAGACACCAGTTACAATAATAACTATAAATACATTTCAAATGTTTAAATAACTTTCAATAATTCATTTTAACTGTACCTATAATATTTTAGAATGTTTTAAATACATGTACAAGTCGTAATAATAACTTTAATAACTATTTCAAATACTTCAACAATTTATTTTATTCGTATATCATAAATATATATCATATCTTTTATACAAAGACTGTCTTGATATTTTCCTGCTTGTTTTAATAAAAAAAATGTTAAAACAAGCCCCCATATAGTAAGTGGAAATTAATTGAGAAATAAACTTTTTTATTTTAATTTTTAATTTTAAATTTATTATGATTCCTATTATAATTTTTTATTATGAAAGAATATCAGTCGTGTACTTAAATATATACATTTTAATTTATTTAAATAAGAAGACTTTAATGATTGCATATTAATGCACAAATTAATAAAGAAATAACAATAAAGTCTTGAATTAACATTAAATGCTGTGGTAACATGGCAGATAACATAGCATAGTTATGGCAACACTATCTTATCCTTCTTTCTTGGTACTAAAAACTGTAAAAATGCTATCCATTTGCTGAACAATTAGATTACATATAAACAAACCAAGAAAGAATGTCATGATAACTGCATCTTTGTGATGCACATTTATAACATTTATGTGTAAAAGGCCTGATTGAACAGTGAATAGATAGCATTTTCATAGTTTTTAGTACCAAGAAAAAAAGATAAAATAAGCATTGCCATAACAACCTTATGCTATCATTTATGTTATATAAAATCATGTCAAAAATAGGCATATATAAATATGCCATCCCAGTGAATAAGTTGTTAAGTCAAATTTCAGCAAAAATGTTTTAAATCGCAGCATTAACTATTTCTCTAAAAATAGTTATTAAATTGAAAAACTATTGGTTAGGAACAAAAGTTAATGATTTACTTTATATAAAATTCAAGCCATTAATTTCAAATATGCAGTATTACACGAGTAACAGAACTTTGAAATCATGCTTTGCAAAATAGAGAAAATTGACTTAACCACTTATTCAACGGGATGACAGAAATATTCTATTGATTTGGTATTGACACAGCATCAAATTAAATCCTTGACTAAATTTCATTTTAAATATTATATTTTTCTTATAAATATATTTGGTACGGGCACAGCTCCGATTTAAAAAGTATGAGACATATGAAAAAATCTGTTAAATCTATAAAATACATAAACCAATCGCAACAATAAGTACAAGTTCTTATAAATATATTTAGTACGGACACAGCTCCGATTTAAAAAATAAAGACTTATATAAAAATACTTGTTAAATCTATAAAATACATATACCAATCACAACAATAAGTACAAGTAAAACATTGCAAATGTTTAAATAGCTTTCCATAATTCATTTTGATTGTATCTTCTTTACTTCAGTCTTATTTTATTGTTCACGAGCAAATGGACTGATTACAATTTTCTTTACCATTATCACAATGTCCATTTTTATCTGCTAAAATTAAATGATTACAGTTAAATGATCTATTGTATTCACAATTTCAATTATACAATTACCACAATGTCCATTTGCATCAGCCGAAACCTCCTTCTCCTTGCTTGAAATATTTTCTTTATTTTTTGCACTTTCTCGTTTACGTTTGAGCAAGTCTTTCAAAGTCTGATAATAAGTAGAATCATCTGAATCTTCGGAATCACCATTGTGATGAGTCTTGTATTTACATATGGGGCATGTTCTGGGTTCGTTTATGGTGTAGTACTCTGTGAAATTGTGACAGGATATGCAGTAGAATTTTTTTGCCGAGGAACCCTTTGATAATTTGTTGATGATAGTTTTTTTAAAAGTGTAACTGGTGGATGGTATTGGTTCTAATGAAGGTTTTTTCACAGGTTTTTTCAAGACTGAGGGAGGTTGTTTGCGTTTTTTACTAGCAGCTGGTGTCTTGCTTTTTGTACCTGTGGTTTCAACAGGTTTATTTTCTAATTCTTCGAACAATTTGTCAATCTTGTCTTCGACATTTGAGTTATCTTGAAGCACTTTTGTTTTTTGACGTAACTCCATGTTCACATTATTTTTAATATCCATTATAAAAGCTGAATAATTATAGTAAGTTATTCAGGTAATATTTATAAACGTAATAATTAGTATATTAATTTAAGAAAGAAAATTACGAAAACGAACAGACTCACCGACTTTTGTGTAAGTTAAATTAAACGTCATGGCGTTGCAGGATTGCAACTATCAAAGTTAAAAACAATGGATTATGCAAATTATGGATAAATTAATTATTTTCAAAAATTATGATAAATTTATAACTAGGTGTAAGTGGGATTTTGCCGTAAGGCAAGTTGCAAAACTATTCAAAAAAATATGATAAAAAAGAGAAAATCAGTCTAGCCATTTTGAATATTCGCGCCATAGTGAATCTAAATATTATTTATGCTTATTGATATCTGATTTAGTCTATGTTTTATTTGTAACCAACTTCATGTGGTCGCTATGTTTGTAAATATAACTATAGTGGTGAATGGCATCGTGCCTTGAGGCAAATTGCTGGAACTTCGCGTACCGTAATGAAATATTCGAGGAATGTTAAATGTTTTCAAATAGATTATTTTCTCAAATACTGTAACTTATATATGTTTACAGAAAATTAAATAAACAAAACTTAATCAATCAAATTTAAAATAAAGAACCATGTCTAATATTTATAAAAATTATATGAACTGAATTGCAAAGTTAAAATAAATTATATTAATTTTTTTTTCCAAAAGCAATCGTTTCGTCAACACAAGCAGAAAGTTTTTTGAATGATTCAAATCGGATACTTATTTCTCTCAAAAACTGCCATTTTTTGCACATTTAGCTCGGTATATCCGAAACGGCTGGATCTGCCTTTGCCAAAAACGATGATTTTTGGATCATTCAAATCGGATGCTCTGTTTTCTCAAAAATTCGATTTCTGTCTTCTGAACTTTTTGCACCGTATCTCCGAAATGGCTGGACCTGCCTTTGCCAAAAACAAATCAGCACATCTTATCAATAGGAATCGAATGTTTTTCGAACCATTCAAATCGGTTGATCCATGCGCCCGAAAATGTGAACAAAAAATTGTATCCATACATACATACACACACGCACACATTTTTTCTGAAGTATGCCAAAATGTTCAGAAACCTCCAAAACGTGAAGAAATGTAAAAAATTTCAATTTCGATTTTTGGACGATTACAGTAAAGTTAAAAATGATCGTTCTTACTTTTCTGAACTTCGAGGAGACAACTTATGCTTAATACCATGTAGGAAAGTTTCCGAACGGAACACAAACGTTATATTTATTTATATACAATAAAATATTTTATTAATTATTATATTATTCATCTTTTATTTTTTTCAAGTAATTTATATTAATATTGTTCAATTAAGGGGTCACTCGCAAAAGCTAGTGAATACAGTTGTCCATATTTTGGCTTTTATTCACCAAAGTTTGGGAAATTTTGGACGCCCAGACAGTAGTTTATGTAAGAACATGTAAGAGTTCCTGTAAAAACACTTGAAAATGGAGCATCGAGCTGCTATTAAATACTTGTTTTTTTAATTCTATGTATGGAGACTCTGCACCATCATTTACCACAGCCAAGTTTAGGATGGTGAGTTCAAATGTAAGAGCTTACGAGACAATAATTGTTCGGGACGTCCAAAAACTTCATCTTATGATGACAATATTGCTAAAGTTCACGAAAATGGTCTTGTACGACACCAATTTAAAATGAGAGAGACAGCAGAGATTATGAAGATGTTCAAAAAACATATTTTTGTCAAATATTAAAAGTAGAGAAATTAACACAGGAGAAATCTATTCGCGCGTTTGCTCATGTTAGACCAAAGCATGTTCGAATGGATATTACCATTATTATTATTACTATTTAGGCGTGATAAATCCGAATTTTGGAGCCAATTAATTACTATAGATAAATCTTGGGTGCACCAATATACACCCAAAACAAAACTACAAAAAAAAAACTCCGAACTGCAAGGGGAAAAACAACTCCAAAAAGAACAAAACTGTTTTTTCGGCTGGAAAAGTGATGGCGACTATTTTTTAGGTTAGTCATGAATTTATTTTAATCAACTATCTTCAAAAAAGAAAACCATTATGGGAGCATTGACTATTCTTTACATGAAAAGAAAATCCTGTTTTTCCAAGACAAGGCGCCGTTGTCTTGCCATGTCAAAAATCCACAAGTTACGACTTGACCCAATGGTTTTTGGACCGAATGGAGCAATTCTCAAAATTAATAATTAATTATTAATTGAAAGCTATGCACTTTTCTACAACTCCTAAAGACACGGTTGTGTCGAACGTCTTGCAAAACTAATTAACGTCTTGCAAAACTATCAACGAATGGCTTTTAAATTTTTGGAATTTGTGCAGCCGTTTGAGATAAGTTTGAATTAGACCATTGAGTAAAGAATTTGAGATATGTATGAATTAGACCATTGTACAAATTTAAAACTAAGTATGTACATGGGTGATTAATTGTACAATTTAATGTAGATTTGGAAATTGTTGATAATGTCGTTTGTATGTAAGAATGACTTAAATATATACTATGAATAGATATTTTGTACGGTGTCTCATGACAGACACATCTGTCTGACTGACAAGTAGAAAACATGTTTAATACCAATAAATAAATAAATAAAAGATTTCACCTTCACAGCAACCTCCCTGCCATCAACTGTTTTAGCCTTATAAACTTGTGCAAGTGATGCAGCAGCTATAGGCTTATCCCTTTCGAACTCCTTAAACAATTCCTCAGGCTTAGCACCAAAATCTGCGACAAAAAGTCGATCTAACTCTTCTGATGATCTGGTCAAACATTCATCTTGCAGTCGTGCTAAAGTTATTGTATACTCCTCAGGCAGAATATGATTCAAAGAAGCTAAACCTTGGCCTATTTTTATATAAATGCCTCCATTTTTTAAACATCCCTAGAATAGATAAACAAATATAAACCATTTTATTATCAAAATATTACTTTTATCTAATTTTTTTTATTACTTGAACCAGTCTATCAGCGCAGCGCCCATGCACATCTTTCTGTTTAATAACAAGTTCTTCAGAGTCTTCTTCGAGGCCCCTTAATGACCAATAGTAGTCCCAGCTGATTTGCAGGCCAATAAGCAAAGACCTTGAGAATCTAATAGCGCCCCCAGGGAGTAAGGAGTCTCCATTAGAGACTCGAACAGCACCGTAGGTACCTGGGGTAAAAGAATTGACAAATAAAATAAAATAGAAGCAAATAAGTTTTAAAAAAATAGAAATACTATTTTATATATTTTAATAATATGACAATAGAAATGATAGAAATTTAAAATAAGCCAGAATATATAAACGTTGTAGAAATATTTTAAAATTATAAAATAAACGGTGCAATTTTATGTCGCCCCATTATTTTGTAATTATGAAAAATACAATTGTCTAAATATTAACAAAATGTAATTTATTTTTGCTGTTTTTATCAATTTGCTACGATTAACTAATATATAATTCAGTTTTGTAATTTTTACTTTTTCCAATAGTTTGAAATTGGCGCCGAAAATATAAACAGCAATTTAATCTTTCATAATTATAACAAATTCGGAAAAAATGTCTAAATAATAATGATATCTAATTATTATGCTTCGTTAATTCTGATAATTTAAACGTTGCTAGTTTAAATATTTAATTCATTTTTGTAATTTTTACATTTGTAAACAATTTGAAAACGCGCGCCAAAATTTTAAACAGCAACTTCACTTTTGTGAAAAATTGTCAAGTAACAGTCGATTTTTAAATTGATTAAAAAAGCACAAACGTTGCTCCTATTTTTATAACACTATTTATAATCATATATGCATTAAAATTAATTAATTAATTAATTAATGTATAGTGTATTTACAATATAAATATATAAAAATTTAATATGAATTTCAGAACTATTGTCCAGACTAGTGACGAACTTAATGCTAGTCCGCCATTTTGTTTAAAACGTCAGTTCTAGTCCACCATTTTTTTTAAAATGTCAGTTCTAGTCCACCATTTTGTTTAAAACGCCATTTTGTGAAAATTTATAACAGTTTTAAATTTTGTAAATTAATTTTAAATAATGTGATAAGAATTTAAAAAGCAAACTCCTAGTTTTATTACGAATCACCTTGCAAGTTCTGTAATTAAAAACTATTCAATTATGTTATAAAACTCAGATTTAATACATTAAAGTTTTAGTTTTAATACAAACTATAGCTTGCAAATAAAATGTTCTAATTTCAATATTCATTCCAATTACCTAGGACTCCAGCAGTAACATAAAAATAAATCCTCTTTTTCCTCGGAGTCCCTGTAATAATTGTGGAAGTGTGATGTTTTGTTTTAAATCCACGACGACTTACAAATGTAAGGACAGCTTTACGTGCATAATTCATCTAGAAATAAAAAAAATCGATAAATAATAATTATAATAATATTCATAATAGTAAAAATGTGAATTGTAAATGATTACAAAATGTTTAATTAAATTGATATAAAATTTAGCGAAGACCACCGACGGCCGCCATTTGCTGCCACCAGAAAAATGGTGGCAATAAATGGCGGCATTTTGAAAAAAACGAACAAGTTCAAGTAGGTACTTCAGAGAAGGTAAGCTTTATTTATTTTTTAATTGTATTAAATTAATTCTTTAAATTGCATTTATAAGTATTCTCTGATAAGCTCTTGTTCTCTAATCTTATTACATGTTAATGCAGAAAAATGGTGACAAAAATGGCGGCATTTCAAAAAACAAAATTATCAAACAAGTTCAAGTAGGTGCTTGAGAGAAGGTAAGCTTTATTTTTTAATTGTATTAAATTAATCTTTTGAAATGCATTTATAAATTTATTTTCTGACAAACTCTTGTACTCTAATCTTATTACATGTCAATGCAGAAAAATCGCGGCATTTAGAAAAAAAAAATAACAAAAAAATTCAAGTAAGTGCCTTCAGAGGAAGCAAGGTTTATTTATTTTTTAATTGCATTAAATTAATCCTTACAATGTATTGGTATTTTTTCGATTCTCTAGAAATTGTTTACAAATACATTATATGGTAAAACAACATTTACTGGGTCAGCTAGTATACATATAAAAATTCGGTTCAATCCAAGCTTATAAACTTTTACCCTCATAATCAATAAAAAAAATATTACTTTATCAATTCGGATGCCCCCTTAGGCTACAAATAAATATTATCCCACTAGTTTTAGAATCCCCGTCAATATGGTTTTCCAGTGTGCGTTGACCTCGATTTTCCGAGAGAAGAGAAATCACAATGACTCAGACGCGCTGAGACTTTTGTTAATAATTTATAAATTAGTAGATATTAAAGACTCCACTGGGACGACTCTAGAAATATTTATAACATAACCTCAAAAGTGTCGATTGGTGGTGATTGGAAGGAACTACTCCTGGTGAAAGTTAGACATGTGATTAATAATAGTTTTTGGAAGTTAATTGAATATGTAAGTAGTTTTTTTTAAATTAGGTTTTGTTTGTTGAAACTCTCAATAAACATCGATTTACCTAACGGGAATTATAGATTATATACTAATAGATAAAGGGACTCCAATGAAGTCCAAATTGGTCAACGTTCTTTAGTAATAAAATCAGAAAAACATTTTGTAAAATCTCAATAATTCAAAATCAATTTGATGAATTTGAACATCATCTGTCAAAACCATATGACGTTTGACGTATGAGCCGCCGTCCATTGTTTCATTTAAATTACGTTTCTCCAGAAAATTTTAAATTAAAAATGTGAAGTTTCTATACAGTTTGGAAATAATATCTCACCTTTCCCACAACCTCTCGATAAGCACGAATTTTCCAAGATTAAGACTGGCTAAATCCGTGTAGTCATTTTAGAGTTTTCGCATACCTAGCATAATACCGAGTTTCATTTTTATATATAAGAAGATTAATGAAAAATATTAAACATTAATAAAACATGTGAATTAAAAAAAATATCTGAGATTAAAATGGCGACAGTGTTGCCAGGTTGTTATAAAATCTCTAGTATTGCCTGATGACACGAAACTAATATTATTAAAATATTTTATTAATATCGTTTTATATATCAATTTGTATTTATTTGAACAAAGTTTTTGGCAAATAAAGCAAAGGTAAAAAGTCACCACTTCTTCATAACTGAATAAATAAATAATTGAGTTGGGCATTCAATGATAAATTCTAGTATAAATTAAATTAATATTTATTCATTCTTTATTTATTAAATTTTATTTATCACAAAGATAAACCCAGGTTAAAATGTAAAGCACAGAGAGTGGTCAGTACAAAAGCGACATAAAATTTAGGTTAGGACATAGATAACCAAGTATAAATGGGTTGTGTTGTGTGTGTAAATTATTTAAATAACAAATAATAAATAATAAATAATAAATATTATTTTTTTGATAAGATACTCACTTCGAGTTCAAGATTACAATTAAGAAAACTGGATAAGACAAGTTCATTTTTTAAAATAATGCTTTTTATTTATTACTTCGCCATTTTGAGTTATGAGTCGCCATTTTGAGTTACGAGCCGCCATTTTGAGTTATGTTATGCCCGTAGAAATAATCCTGACGGCAGTGTTGCCAGATCGTTTAAAATATAATATAAATTTTTTTGTATTGCCTGATGATGCAACAGTAGGTAAAATATATAAGGAATGTTTATATTATTGTATTAATATTGTTATACTATTTATATTAAAAGTGATTAGAAGACAATCTTTGTGCGAAACAGAGATTGTCTGTAAGACGCAGTACAGAATCATATGTCGCCTATCGTTTATTGATTGTGTTGTAACTTATTTTTTATACTTGAGAAGTAAGTAAAAGAAAATCCCTGCGCCTATAAATATTGTATAATAGAACGATTTCTTTTCTACTTCTTCTCTATTTGAACCTATCAAGTCGATAAGTGTTTCCAGATTAAGCAAAACAGAATACATAACCCCTAGTATTGCCTGATGGCACAAAAAATCCTAAATCCATAAAAGAAAACCAAATAACGTTTCGACTTAATACGAACACATAATGTAGGTTGCATCGTTCGTACAAAAACATTTATATTATACATCTCCGTCGTGACTAACAAAAGACAAGTTTTTCTAGCAGCTGTTGATAAGTTGCACAAATACCAATATGAAAGACCAATTCGTTTCGTATATGAATGCATTTATGTTGTCCATTCTGAATGTATTTGTTCGTCAGCCGAGTCATTCGTGTGTTTGACAATCAGCTGAGAATGGCAGAGAGGAGTAAGGTCATGTTTAGCATTGGCGGACAAGATAAGAGAAATATATATATATATTATATAAAGTAAACATTACACTTTCTTTTATTGCAATAATAATAATATATTATTGAAGTAAATATAGTAACAGAGCTTAATAACATCAAAAAGCTTAGGAATCTGGTTTATCAAATCAATTGCTCAGATTGTGATACAATGTATATTGGTGAAACTAGTCAATATTTGAAAAATCCACAACAATTCAAAACGCAAAAGCTGAAGGTTGCTTCATTCAACGACATAATGATAAGGCAATAATTAAACATAATGGCATGAACAGTTAGTTTTTGAATTATGTTTTTTTATAATGATTATAAAGTCATACATAAAAAGATGATACATATATGTTAGGAACTTGTTAAAAATCCTTGCTCTTTAAAGATCCTGTTATTATATTTTTAATTATCATTGAAATAAGTTTTATTTGAAATTTAAATAATAGGCAAATTGACCCTCTTTTCCTGCTTCGATTAATAAGCAGAAACATTTGTAATTAATATATATAATTTGTTTTACATAAATATTTTTCTATTGAACCTCAAAATTAACTTTAAATATTGACATAATTTTTCATAGAATACATAATCCAATGTTATATTACAAATCTCAAATATTATTTTAGATAAAATAATTTTTATCTATAGCAAATAAAGAATTAAATAGAGAAACAATAGCGACCAGAGATTAAAAATTTAAACGACAAAATATCTAGGTTAGGTTGTGTATGTAGATTGTTTAAATAATAAATAATAAATATTATTTTTTTGATAATAAACTGACTTCGAGTTCAAGATTACAATTAAGAAAACTGGATAAGAGGAGTTTATTAAAAATAATGGTTTTTATTTATTACGTCGCTATTTTGAGTTACGAGTCGCCATTTTGAGTAATGAGTCGCCATTTTGAGTTACGAGTCGCCATTTTGAGTTACGAGTCGCCACTTTGAGTTATGTTATTGTCAAAATTATTAAATAGAATTAAATAAATTATAATAGAATTCCATTAATTTGTAAATTCCATTCAAACAAATATTCCCAAAACAAAATATTTATCCTAAATTAAACTAGATAAGAAACTGGCTTCGAATTTAAGATTACAATTAAAAAAAAATGGGTAAGAGAAGTTTATTTTTGAAAATAATGCTTTTTATTTATTGTTTAGCCGTTTGGAGTTATGAGTCGCCATTTTGAGTAATGAGTCGCCTTATAAGTCGCCATTTTAAGTTAAGTTATACCCGTTGCCAACAAACTAAAAATAAATTATGAATTGTCAAAATTATTAAATATAATAGAACAAAATAGAATTCCATTAATTTGTAAATTCTATTTAAAAAACTATTCGAAAACAAAATATTTATTCTAGGATAAGTTTGCTTTCTTAGTGTACCTAATAAAAATAACAAGCATTTTTTTTTAAGTTAAAGTTCAGATCACATGAGCTTCTCAAACGATGATGGCGTTGACTTCTCAAACGATTTGGCGTGGCTTTATAAATAGCAACCCAAACGTTTGTCCCATCTCTATGTAATGAATTTATTATTCACTGCTCAACATCAGGCTGTCTGAAGCGGGATCGAACCCAATTCCGATTCAAAGTCCCTAGCTCTAACCGCTAAACTACGGGGAAGTCCTCTTTCCATAGACATAAACTACTAATAAAAATACGTGCATATAAATTTATTTGCGTAAATCTATTTATTTTTTTGGGTTCCGTCTCAAGGTCAATGTCGTAACGTGTTATTGTCTGCAAGCGATTTCTGCATTATCATATCATGTCCTATATGTTTTTGTTTTTCTCTTTTTATTTTCAAAACAACATTTTTTTGAAACGAAAATATAAAGTAGACATTTTATTTATAAGATTCCTAAATCTATTTACTCCCCAAAGGAGATGTCACGAAAATCCAAGTTGATAATTTTCTGGTTGTTTGACTTTTCAAACTATTCTGAATCGTTTGACACCAAAATGGGAACAAGTGGGTGTGCGTATATGATCCATAAGGTGATCTTTCGTCAACCTTACCTTTTAAAAATGGCTGCACTGATGGAATTTGATAAAGACTCATGTTGATTAGTTTTCCGTAACGATCG